CTACTATAACATTTTGCTATCGCTTCTACAGTAGTTGTATGGACCAGAGTTTTACCCTGCAAACGCTTAAACCGGACGTAAGCGTGACTCTGTGAAAAGGGTCCATAAAAAGGATACTACTGCTAATAATTCTATCATTAATACTAACCAGAAGGGAAAAGTTTGTAATCAAACTGTAACTTGGCCTGACAAAGCCCTTGCCATGAAATCCCAGGTGGTTGCTAAGATGTTGCTAGGCTAATGCTATGGAATCCCAGTGATCAGTCCCAAAAGCACATACACACAATTCCCAAATAAACTCTAGTTACATTCCTGCAAAGGTTCATGGTTGAAGTTGGAAAACTACCCATATAAACTGTACAAAAATTATGGGTCATTCTCCACTTGGAGTGGGAAATCATGTCACAAAACAGCTCATCACATTACCAATTTTAACACATAAGAAACCATTTTTAATATAAAACAATATTTTTAAGAGGTTTAACCTAGGAATTTGTATGAAACAGATACATGTTTATTTTTTATATCATTAATATTATGCTACATTTTAAAAAATATGTATATTATTTTAAAAATACATTTGTCACAGATTTTGGTCACTGACATTATCAGGACACTTATATTGAATTTTAACCTAGTATTTTCAACACTATTAAACTGCTTCCTTGGGTCAGTGGTCATTAGAGAGGAAGCACCTCGAGGAATAAGAAGGCAAGTCCATACTTGCTTATTGTATTTGATGAAATTTATTAATAATTTTGTTTATCTGGCAGCACATAACCTCTGTGTGTGACTGGTGTTATCTGTTTTAATGGCCGAGTAAATAATATTTTATCAAAATAATGTCTTATGTCCTTTTTATTACAAAGCTGCACCATGTCAAGCTGGCAATGAGTCAGCCAGTACAAAATCCTGTTTTAACCAGAATGTCACTTGTGATCAGAACACTTGAAAAAGTAGTAGATACAGACACTGTATCTTTAAGTGTGTTTATTAAGTGATTATTTTGTCATTTTGCTAGCCTGGCTAGGTTGTCCAAACAGAGTGCAGTAGAGAGGCAGAGGCTGTATAAGCAGCGTAGAGATTCAGGTAAAGCTGCTTACTTGGCAAAGAAAAAAGAGACATACCCTCTTCAGTCCTTAGACCGGACAGTTTAAAAACAATAATGCTTTGTTTTGAAACTCCTATGCCGCCTACTAAATAACATAATACATTCATTATTTTTTTCTATTTACTGGGAAACATTCAGTGTCCAGTGTACTGGACATTTGGACTTAGGCGCATGAAATGTAAGAGATTTTGAAAAGTGTACATGTTTATAATCACCAACATAACAAGACACAAAGCAAACAATGAACTTTTCCTGTGTTTACTGTATGGACATTTGCATGAATAAGTTTCTGAACTCTTGAAACCACTTGGACTTCTGCTAGAATAACTCCTAAAATATTAAAATTAAAATATTAAACAATTGTCACTGAAATGACAGATTTGTTATGATAAAGCGTTCTGTTTTTAAAATGGAATAATCCAAACCCTTTTCCAAAACAGTGGGGATGCTGCGCGAAATGTAGATGAAAATAGAAGACAATGATATGTAAATCTTGTATACCCTTTGTTTAATTGAAAATTGCACAAAGACAACATATCAGATGTTGAAACTGAGAAATGTTATTGCTTTTTGAAAAATACATGCCTATTTTGAATTTAATGCCAGCAACATGTTACAAAAATAGTTGGGTTCTATACAGAATGCATGGTTCAAAATAAAACCATTGCCTTTACTAAAGAAGTGTGCACAACAATGAACAGTCAAATAACCATTTGCACAATGAACTCAAGCTCCTACAGTTTGCCAGACTTTACTGGAACTTGAAGTGTGATTGTGTTCTGTGGTCAGATGAGACCAAAACAGAGGTTTTGGAAACAAATCAATGATCAATGATGTTTTTGGGCTGTATGTCTTCCAAAGGCCCTGGACAGTTTATTTAGATATCACAGACTCCATCAAGTACCAGCTGATATTAAATCAAAACCTGACTGCCTCAGCCAGGAAACTCAAACTGGGCCATAGTTTAGATCTTCCAGCAGGACAATGATCCAAATCACACCTCAAAATTAACACAAAAATAGTTCACTGACCACAGAACAGGGTGTCCGCAGATTGGCATTATTTATGGCTCTGAGGGGCGCTAATTGCAGTTTTGTTCATCACTTTGTTTTAGCTAGCAGAGACAATACTGTATAGGCATGGGTGAGTCTAAATTTAACGAAAACTGGTTGGATAACCCAAATTTTGCACCGTGGTTAAATCCAGTTCAAGGTAATCTGTACAAAGTGCATTGCGCACAGTGCAAGAAGGTCTTCAAGCTTGGCACAATGGGAATAAAAGCTGTGGATTCGCAAACTCTGCTCCAGGTGTCTATCAGCTTGCAGAAGGATGCTGATCAGCCTGCTGAAGAAGCTGAATGAAAAGCTGGCACATTAATGGCACAGCTGATCACAATCAAACACACTGCAGAAGTGATACAAAGAAAAAATGTGCGAATTAAAAAAAATAGAGGAAGAGTTGTAGACAATGGGTCCTGAACTCAGAGACGTCATGATTCCGAGAAATTTGCAGAAAACTTGCAGAAAAAAGAGAGACCCTATTTTCAATGTATGGACAGTTCCCTTTTTGTTTGTGCAAAACTATTAATTTATGTTTGTTTGAAATATTGGTTCATCAGAAAACGTAGGAATCACATGTTTACAGTAAAGTCTGTAAATGTAATATTGGTGCCATTGTGTGCTTCTAGCCATTTAGTTTTTGCGTAAGTTGTCTTAATTTTGTCTCTGAGTGGCATTTAAAAAGTCTTAAAAAGTCTTAAATTTAACCTCCCCATACCTGAAGATACCCTGCAGAATTAAGTTTTTGCCATGTCCACCCAAATACCCTGACCTCCACCCCATGGAAAACCTGTGGGATGAGCTGAAGAGGAGAGTCCACAGTGTGGAGGGTTCTTCAGTCTTTAAAGGTGCTAATTGTGGATAATGCTACTTGAGTTATACTTATTGCAATTTAGTTTAGATTTAGACTTCTGAGCCTTACGTAATAAATGTTTGGTCAAAGCAACCTTCTTAAATAGAACCCACCATTCCTGTTGGATCGTGGTACTATATATTTGCATATTGGGTGTGTCTTTCCACCATGTATAACATAGCATCTGTGTTGTCATTCTCTCCAGCCTACCTTCCCTTGGGTGTCTACTTGTTTGTGGCTCATTTCAGTTGGTACTGATTGAAAATCAGTGTTGAGGGAGCTGTCAAAGAAACATTCCTTCTTCTGTTGTAAACAGTACCCCCTACTGTCACATTTTCTTTGAAAGTTAGAAAAATCCCTGCTGAAAGTGTATCTTGAAGGTAGGAGTTGCCTGTTAGCCTGTTAGCTATCTGCTGATGTGGTTAGCCTACTCTAATGAAAGCTAATTTTGTTTCCTTATTCTTTGTTTTACAACCCCATTTCCAAAAGTGCAAAATGTGGATAAAAACAAAATACAATAATGTGCAAATCATTTAAACCTTATATTTAATTGAAAATAGTACAAAGACAACATATAAAATCTTGAAACAGAAACTGTAATGTTTTTTTGAAAATATATGCACATTTTGAATTTGATGCCAGCAACACGTATAAAAAAAATGGGGCAAGAGCAACAAAAGACTGGTAAAGTTCTGTGATGCTAAAAAAAAACCTGGTGGTTAATTAGCAACAGGTCAGTAACATGACTGGGTATAAAATGAGCATCAAAGAGGGGCTTTGAGTCTTTGAACTCAGTGAAGATGAGGTTTTCACCATTCATCAGTGACACTGAGGTGTTTAAAAACTCCAGCAGCACTGCTGTGTCTGATCCACTCAGACCAGCACAACACACACTAACACACCACCACCACATCAGTGTTACTGCAGTGCTGAGAATGATCCACCACCCAAATAATACCTGCTCTGTGGTGGTCCTGTGGGGGTCCTGACCATTGAAGAACAGGGTGAATGGGGGCAAACAAAGTATGCAGAGAAACAGATGGACTACAGTCTGTAACTGTAGAACTACAAAGTGCACCTGTGTGGTAAGTGGAGCTGATAAAATGAAGAATGAGTGTAGAAACAAGGAGGTGGTTTTAAAGTAATTAAAATATTCATATATTTATATGTAACTGTAACTGACCTCACAGCTGTCCATCTCTTCTTCTGTTGTTATATTGTGGGCCTCCAGTTTTCTGTGCTCCTCTTCCTCTTCCAAATACTTCATCACTATCTCTTTAGTGACATTTTGAAAGGAACTGGAGGTTCTTAGGCGCCTTTTCTCGCTCCTCTCCTCCACATCTGTATCTGTCTCTGTGTCTGTGAAACTCTAGGGGTGTCAGATGATTAAATAATGAAACACAATTAATCACTTTTATCACAAATTTGACCCAGAAGAAAGATTTTTAATGTTTGATGAACTGATTTCTAAAGTACACATTACATTCAGTAAATCAGTAACATTACTGAAGACTGCAGTTTGAACAGAAGTAGACTTTTTTACAGTGATGTGGAATCAGAACGATGCTGTTTTTAAATGGAGTAAGTGAAAGTCAATGAAACAGCACCTGTCTGAAGCTCAGTGTGACCCACATTTTTACCAATTTGAGAAAGCAATGGACAAAGATCTCCAATATTTCTGATATGCACATTTTGAAGGCTACATAAAGCAGCCTAATATTGATAAAAACGCCTCCCCACCAACGCAGCACTCTCAAACCAATTTCCCAAAAAGATCCTTGAAACTAGCGAGAAGAGACGAGCGACGCCACTAATTTTCAGTACATTTAAACTAAACTTTGTTGGAAGGCAACGATAAAAAACAGACATTATAAACTACACTCAGTCAAAAGACTCAATAAAGTTCGTGTTCTTCCTTGTCTTATGCCAGAGAGTGTTTATTGGACCTCGATGCTCTGCTATGGGGTTGCCAGGGCGACGCGTGGTCACATGGGCCACACAGACGAAGGAATGTGAATACAACCTGCTGGTTTAAAAGATTTTAGCCATCTGACAAAGTTTTTGAAAGATTTTTGACGTAAGTAGTGCTTCTGCCTAAGAAGATTTCATTAAACATTTTAAAGGCTACTTGTTCAACTCCGTGAACGACAGATGTCGGAGGATCTTTTGCTGAACTGTGCTGTTTGCCTCCTAGGTGAATCACTAATCGAGTCAGAATGGCCTCGGCTGTGCTGCCCAGGCAGAAAACCCGGTTTCTTCCAGCCATCGACCAGCGCGCTGCTCCCAGCCACAACAAACTCAGTCACAAGAGCCGGTGAGAGCAAAGAGCAGGCTGGAGTCAAACAGTTGGTCAGGCACTACTGCTTTTTACAGGAGCAGCGTTTAAAACCTTCTGTCATGTAGTCCACATGCACTACACAGCTTCAACAACAACCTGTAGCTGACATTTACATCAGCAGAAAAAATATGGAGCTATATATTTACACTTCATTAAGTACACCTCCTATAAAATTACAGTAAAACCTCCTTGTTTCTACACTCATTCTTCATTTTATCAGCTCCACTTACCACACAGGAGCACTTTATTTTTCTACTATTACAGACTGTAGTCCATCTGTTTCTCTGCATACTTTGTTAGCCCCCTTTTACCCTGTTCTTCAATGGTCAGGACCCCCACAGGACCACCACAGAGCAGGTATTATTTGGGTGGTGGATCATTCTCAGCACTGCAGTAACACTGATGTGGTGGCGGTGTGTTAGTGTGTGTTGTGCTGGTCTGAGTGGATCAGACACAGCAGTGCTGCTGGAGTTTTTAAACACCTCAGTGTCACTGCTGGACTGAGAATAGTCCACCAACCAGTAATATCCAGCCAACAGCGTCCTGTGACCACTGATGAAGGGCTAGAGGATGAATAACACAAACTGTGCAGCAACAGATGAGCTGTTGTCTCTGACTTTACATCTAGAAGGTGGATCAGCAAGGTAGGAGTGTCTAATAGAGTGGACAATAAGTGGACACAGTGTTCACAGCACTGCTGTGTTGGATCTACTCATACCGGCACAACACACACTAAGACACCACCACCACGTCAGTGTCACTGCAACAGATGGACTACAGTCTGTAATTGTAAAACTACAGAGTGGACAAAGAGCATATAAACAAGGAAGTGTACAGTCAGTGTATGTGAACAGTATTCTCTCTTTTTCTCAGTATTAACTTTAGTTCAATGTGTATTTTGTAGACTGAAGGAAAAATCCAAGCTTCCTGACCCAGCCTTCCCTGAAAACGAGAAAAACCAAACCACCACAATCACAGAAGATGACATAGCAAGGTAAGTAGCTAATGTCATCTGTGTATTTGTGTATATTAGGTTGGAATACATCAGGAATAACAGCACACAATGTGTTTCCAAGTTCTTAGATAATGCCCTTATTCTTTCTGCCAGCAGATGGCGCTGTGAGTTTAGTCAAATCACTTTCACCAGTGGATTTCTTGTTACGAGTGGAGTGAACTGTCCTGGTCATTTTGCTCATGTTTTTAGTACTATTGATCTTTTATTGATTATTTATTTTGTAGAGGATGGCAGCTGTTGGAATATGAGAATAAGTCATAGACCACCCTTTCATTTATTTAACCCCTTAAAATCCCAGGCTTATTACATATTAAGGCTTATTATTCAGTAACTACAAGGGACTTCAGTGGCTGAGCTACTCTACTCTTACATTTAAGGGGTTAATTTCCAGTCAAGTTACTGATTTTTTATCATCAGGAAAAAAAAATCATATATTTAACAGAAAATTTGACAGAAGCCTCAACAATTAGATGTAATATCAAAATGTGTTATTAGAGTATCCACTATTTGCCTTTATTACAGCTTTCAGATTTTCTTTTTTTAATAAGTCTTAATCTTCTCAGCAGTGTGCTTGGGGTCATCAGATTGCATGTAGAATGAATTTTCAGTTTATATGTATCAGCATTTATGATGCAACACAATCACCAACTCTAGATGTTGTTATACTTGCACTAATCCTCCACCAGTCCTGTTCTCTGATACTTTCAAATATCAGTTATATCAGTTATATATATATATTAGTTTTTGTTCAAGTATACATTTTCTTTTTTTATCTATTTCCTTTTTCTCATTAAAGGCTTCTTAACAGTTGCACATCCTTTCAGACTCATAGTGTGCATGTCTTCTCACAGTGGAAGGATGTACAGAAACACCTATGGATTTTTTCAGAAGTTAGAGTGGAGCTTGATTTTCTCCTCTCTCTCAAAGATGAAAGCTTTAATTGTTAAGCTGTTTATCTGATGGGGACAGTTTGTTCAGGTTGTACTTGTACTTAATAGCCATTTCTGACTGGAAATAAAACAAACAAAAGGGTGGTCTCTGACATTTACACAGTAGTGTGGTCAGATGCTGTTTGGTTCAACAGAAATCCAGTGTTGACTTATTTCTTTAATCTCTTTGTGCATCTCCTCAGGTTCCGGAAGCCTGTACATCAAAACCTTTGCGTGTCCATGTTGCGGGAGGGGTTTCATCGCTCTTTTGAAGAGTTCTTTTCTTTGCTCCAGCGCTGGAAGGCGTCCCGGCTGGCGGCTGGAGAGGACAGCGCACTGTGGCAGCAGCGTCCACTGGAGGAGCAGCCACACAAACTGGAGACACTGAAGGAGTTCCTCACTCGTGCCGAGTCTGCGGAAAGATCTGGTAATGTTACAGCTAGTAAAGTTACAGTTAGTGATAATGTGATGTAATGGCAATGCAGCTGATGCCCCCCTCCCTCCTCTCTCTCCCTCCCTCTCTCTCTAGATCAGTATGTGGAGGTGTATGAGAATTATTTGGCCCTGGCAAAGTTTTTCTCAGAGCCAGACGACAGGTGGCTCCAGCATCATTTCTATGAGCTCAGCCTTCTGTCTGCCCGCAAAATAAAGATGGACTCTGGCAAGAGAGAAGCCGAGGCCAACGCACACATAGGCCAGCTGTACTTAGAACAAGGTAGCACGCGTACATTCTTGCACTAAAGACAAAAACATCTATAGGCTGATGCATACATGTTTATGCATATACGGCGCTTTACTAGTAACTTATTTTGACCCTAAAAATTTTATGTAAATTTATATTCACAGTAAACTAAGCTCGTCTAGATATTACTTTGGGTGTCCATCCATTACTAATTACATGTAACACCTACCAAGGTAGATATTTAAAAATTAGGTGTACGCTGTCACCGACTGTTTGCTCTGGGTAGTGCCTGCATAAAGTAAAAGATAATGGAGTTATGTGGTTTTGATTAAACAGCGGCATTCTTTGTGCATATACATTTATGTGTGTTTGTATGTGCATATATATATATATATATATATATATATATATATATATAAATGCACATACAAACACACACACACATATATATATATATATATAGATATATAAAACCTTTTTTTGTTGCCAATGTTGTTTTTAAGAGATTATTTTTTAGTTCTTTGGAGCACTTTTATCATGACACTAATTTTAAATTAAAAAAAAATAAAATACTGACCAACATTTTCATGTCACAACCGAAACACAAAGAGTTTTAGTCCATAGGTGGAGTCTTATTTTAACCACTCCCCTACATTTTAAACCAAGAAGTGAGACTGCATCCCAATCCCTCATGGCCACATGGTGAGCCCACTGTTTTGAAGTAAATGTTTCCCAAACTCTGAAAATCAGTGAATGATATTAAGAACTGTCACTACCAAATCACAACTTTTCTGCAATTAGGTAAACTTTTTTCTGCTTTATTGAAAATATTATGATTTTTCTATGTGTGTACAACTGTTCACACACAACTATGTATGTTCAGAACTGTGTTTTGAGTTCTGATCAAAATAAGCTAAAATTGTCACTACTGAAACATTTTGTTAACTATTATTATTGCCTTGGCAGTGCCAAAATAAAGTGTTTAATCATTTGTTTTAATAAATGAAACATAATTAAGGTATAGGGTCACACAAAGCAAAAGGATTTTAGTGTAATGTCCAAGGAAGTTAAAAGTCAGTTAAAAAAGTTAAAAAATGTGTTATGAATATATATTAATTGTACACACACACACACACACACACATATATATATATATATATATATATACACACGCAGGTGATTTGGAATTGGCTCAGGAGCACTATGAGATGTTTCACTACCTGGTGGTGGGGCGATCATGGCAGGACGAGAACGGATGTCCACTTCTTTATCGTGCGTGCGAGGGGCTCTGGAGGGTCTACACACTGCAGGCACAGAGACAACTGCAGAATAAAGACTACAGTCCAGCCATTCAGATCCTTACCAAGGCCTATGATATGGCTAAACAGGGTAACCCAGCACACACACATGTTCTGAGTCAAGGCACACACAAACCTTTCCTACTTCTTTTGATCTCCAGCTAGGTTTCCGGTGACTTTAGGCAAGTGATAAAATGAGTACATGTTAAGAAATATTTGTGACTTTTAATCATATCACTGTTGATGGGTATCAGTGTTGGACTGATTCAGCACAAAATGCTGGATCAGATATCGGGGGGCACACACTCCAAGCACACACTCACACTGTATGATGTAATGTTGTTAACTGTGTAGTTCTTCCTGTTGGGTAGTAGGGTGTTTGAGTAGTTTGAGCATGTTGGAATACTTTTAGATGCTCATCCTAGGGTGAAATGCTCCAATTTTTTTAAAAAAAGCTTATTTTAAAGCTAAGTAGTTTTTAAAGAGAAAATAACTGATTGGTATAGATATAGGCCGATATTCAAGGTTTCGTTATCAGTATCAGAAAAGAAAATCTGTCATGCCATCTTTACAACTTACGTTCTCTTTCTTTATCTCTATATCTCCCTCTCTTTTCTTTAGCAGGTGATAGGAGGATGGAGGGAGAGGCAGCATATAGAGTGGCTCTGGCCTATCAGAGCTTGGGCGATCAAAGAACTGCTAAACAGGTGAGTCACTTCACACACACGCACATATTAATACATGAACACACTTACATGTTCAAACTCACATTGTTTCTGTGTGTTTCAGTTTCTGAAAACATTTGTGGAGATCTCCACAGCTCTGCAGGACACAGCCAGTGTGGGAAAAGCATATAAAGCCATCGCCCAGTCTCTGGAGAGGTACTCACACACACTCACACAACACACTCACTCACACAGAATGAGACAATGCTGATTATAACTTACTTCTTCAAGTCAACCTGAAATTAAAATGGACATTTTTCACATTGTTAGTTCATGTCCATGCTTATTTTAAAAGGTTCGTATCCTACATTGGTTGCATTTTCTCTTTTCCCTTGAACTCTGCTGATAAAAAAGAAGAAACCATCCATTGTTTCTGTTGGTTCCTGGTGGTTTTGTACTGTGTTTTGGCTTTTTTTGATGGGTTGATATCGTATGTAAAGAAATCTAATGGTTTAATAGGTGACCTAAAAGGTGTAACTGATTCTAAACAAATTTGATGGTTTTCTCATAGGATCTAAAGGAGTTTTACAGGAAACTAGTGGTTTTTAAAGGTAGCCAAAACAATCAGATTTTAATCCTAATGGTTCTAATAGTCTATTTTCAGCATGACATTTTGGTTGAGTTTACATACCAAAAATCATAATTAATTCATTTTTACAGGATCATTTTCTAATCTCTCTTTATCCCTTAGAATTAATTAGGCTGTTGTTACTGTGCCTTTACAGATGTATGTTAATAGCTCTGTCCTGATTGGCTACCCTGTATTGTGCCTCATTCAAAAAGCAGTCCTGACTTTTTTTTTTCGATTTTTATTTTTGTACATCATTTAAGCAAAGCAGCTGCCCTTTACATTGCATCAAATTTTCATGATGAATGTACAAGTAGAAGTGGTCCAAAATAATTTGGATTAAAATCTCTTTACATCAACTTATATTAAAAGTAAAGAACATTTTTGCCTCCTCCTGAAAAGATTCCATTTTGGACATATGGTTTCACTCAAAACACAAAATTCTTGTGGTGCTGCAGGAGACGAGTAGCCCTGTAGACTAGTGTCCAGGTCTGACTTGATGTCATTTCAGTACTCCCACTTTTGACAATCCAGTCAGATCCCAATGGATGAAATCATGCCCCACCTCTAATTACATCCTGGCTGAATATGCTGTTTCACTCAGATGTACATGATGTTAAAGAAGAAAGAAGCGTTCCAGTCTCTGATTCACGCTGACTTTAAAACATATGTAAACTTTTACGAAATGTAATGTGAATTTGTGTGGATTTCTGTGTCTTGTAGTGAGGGTAAATTGAATGAGACCATCCAGTACCTGCAGAAATATGCTGAAATTTCTGAGCAGAACAATCAGGACCAGGACCTACAGGACGCTTGCATGTGCCTTGGGTCCATACAGAGCTCTAGGGTAAGAAAAAAAGAGATTAAGTGTTAGGGGTGGGTTTGAGTAACATTTTATGTATCCATTTAATTCAACTACTAAAATAGTTACTTAAAATTTGCAAGTTAATTTTGTGTTCTACAAAACAGAATAAAATAATAAGCTATGAGAAATTGAATAATGAAGATATAGTATAGTCTAAAATTATGTTTAAAATAAGAAAATGATTTATCTCAGCTAGTATGGATTGATCCCAATGCCGGAGTGGGTAGCTGGGAGAATTCCCGATGGGCTGCTAGGTTTTTGGGCTGGTAACTGTGAGCTAATGCACGAAATCACTTACATAAGCACAGCAAACTACAAATGTTACATCCAAGTGTTTATCTGTAGTAATTTAAGGGTTAAACCAGCGGCCCCCAACTCAAGTGATGCAGCCCCTGTTTGCTGATTGCAACTCAGCCTCGTACAGTGGATAGATATTAGATGAAGCCGAAATTAGCTACTTGCTCTTACTTCCCATTCCACCTTAAATTATGTTGCAGTTACATTCACACGCCGTTAACGTGTAACTGATTATAAAAGGTGGAACAGAAGTTCAAATAAGAAGCTAAAATCTGCCTTGAAAGATCATATAGTGTATAAAATTTAGTGTGGTAGTTTGAACGACACTACAGGCAGTGCACTACAGACTTCATTACTTTCATTTGGATTAGCAATGTAGCAATTTTCATATATGAATCATGTGAAAATGGACAGCAGCAGCAAAAACAGCAAAAAACCAAAGTGGCACCTAAAAGACAAGAAAGAAGTTACTTAACCCCTTAAAATCCCAGGCTTGCTACATACTGACCACAGGGATGTCAGTGCATCTAGTTGAGCTATTCCTAGATGATAGAAGCATGTTATAAAACGTGGATGAGGACATATCCAAACATGTGGGAAGTGAAAAATGCTGAAAGGATCTTACTTAGCAAGCATTAGTTTGTAGCATAATCACTGACTGTCGTGATTATGTCACATTTAAAATAAAAGGTTTCACCAGTTTTCATTTCATCACTACCTTGGTTATCTGAGTGTAGCATATAAATAATACATAAGTAAGAAACAACGAAAATGAAAATGTGACGATTTAAAAAAAAGTTATTTTGCACAAAGTCAGTGCTGTGTGTGTAGAGTTTCACACTAAAGTCTCACTCCGGTCAGATGTATTACATCATGCAGCACTAGTTGCTTGTGTGTGTGTGTGTGTGTGTGTGTGTGTGTGTGTGTAGGGTGAGTATGTTAGTGCCTGTGAGTATTTTATCAGGGCCTATGAGATTGCATGTGATCTGGGCTCAGTGCCACTCCTGCAGAAAGCTCAAGTGTGCCTGGGCATCACGCGGGCACACAGCATGCTGCGGACGTACAGCACCCTTGTGGTGAACGATGAGCCGCAGAGCCTTCTCACACTCATCCGCTGGAAGGAGACACGAGAGGAGTTTCACAAGCCCCCATGTGAGTGTGTTACACACACATACCACACTCACACACACAAAACCTCTCTCAGCCAGCTCCAGTGCAGCGGTAAAGCAAAGGCACACTGACACATGTTTGTTTTGGTCTGGTTTAGTAAATTCAGTAATGCAGCCATCAGTAATGCATCAATAATGCTGTCATATACTTAGTGAATTAAAGACCCTGTCAGACGTTATTAAAGAGGCGCCATAGCCAAAACACTATTAGCTCTGATTTTATTAGTAGAGAGCCTTAAAAATTTACACATTTTATTAATATCATTATTGTTAGCATGGATTTATGTGCTAAAAACAGTCATAATTCATTTTACAGACTGTGCTGAAACCTCTATTTATCCTTTGGAGTTAAACACGCTGTTTTATTACTGTTTATAAGACTGATATAAGGAAATGAGCTCCGTTCTGATTGTCTGCCTCATTAAAAAAGCGGCCTTTGTCACTTCTGTTTGAATAGGTGGGGCTAAACTTCTTCACATTGCACGACTTTAGTCCTGATCAATCCTGAAAGTTGGCTCTCGATGGCTGTTTGTCAGGAATCAGCAACCCAAATGTTAAGAAGAGCCATTTAGTCCTTTCAACAAAAATCAAACCATCTTGTTAGGCACAACACTTTATGTCCTTAAGCTTAAGAGTTGTTTTTCTTTGGGGGAAGGGGGGGGGGGTCTCAATTGGAAGCCTATTCCCGCCATGTAGACAAGAAGGGAAATAAGCAAAATAAAACGAATAATGAGAAAAAAAGTCAAATAAGTCTTTATTTTGAGATACAAAGTCAAAATTTTCAGAGAATAAGCCATTTTTTTGACACAAGCTGGAATTTCAAGAAAATAAGTCACCATTTTGAAATACCAAGTCAAAATCTTAAGGACAGTAAGCCATTATTTCAACAAAATGGGTCATCTTGAGAATATAAGCCATTTTTACAACACAAGAAACTAAATGATCATTTTGAGAAACCAAGTCAATATCTTGAAAAAATAAGTCATGATTTCAACAATATAGATCATAATTACTGTAATATTCTTACATAAAATGACTACTACAACTTATTTTGAGATAAAAGGTAAAACCTTTAACATACTTTTAGTCTTACATAGTCTTACACATTTTGACATACTGCTGTCCAAAACCAGGAGGAGAAGAAAAACACAATGGGCTTCCATGAGTGACCATTTTGTTTTAGGGGAGGATGATGAAATTACATGAAAAATACAATTTTGTTAAACTCATGCTCAGACATTTATTTACACTGGAAGTCAATCTTTCGTTCGAAGAAATAGTGGGGGGGGGGGACTTATGTTTGCTCCCCCTCGACTACAACTGGAGGTGCATATGCCCCACTTACTCCATTGCTCATGCACCTATGAGTCAAAATAAAAATAGGGAGCAATTCCTGACTGCTACGTCAAATCCCATTTAAGCCAACATAGTGAGAAGAGTTAGAGTTAAAAAGAGGGCTGGCATTCAGGGACAGCCTTTCAGACACAGGATCAGTCTAAGCTCTCGACTAAAGAAACATTTACAGTGGTCAGTTTCTCTTTACAGCTCAATTCAGTTCTAGACGAGATTGATTTGAGCTTAGAGAAAAATGACCCTCAAACCATCATTCTCCCTTTCTCCACAGACGCAAAGAAATGATGGGATCATAAAAGAAAAGAAATTGGAGAGGCGTGAGAAGAGGAGAAGAGGAGAGGGGGTGGGCTTGACTGAAATCTGTGTTCACAGTGAATAAAAATCTTTTAAAGCAATGGCTTCTAGTGTTTTTGTTTTTATTGAAACATCCATGATGACACTTTAATGAAACATCATTAATGACATTTTAATAATCAGATAAATATGCTGTGGTAAATTAACCCTCTTATCTAACAGCCTTATGTGTGGACACTGATTGTCTATTCCACTGTTAAAAGCAATGATCTATTGTTGTCTTAAGATTGGATTATTGTTATTCACTATTCAGCATGCACTGTGCTCACTGATGTTTTACAGTAATACAGACTTTTTTTTATAGCAATAAGGGCAATTAAGTAATATTTTAATGGACTTGTATATTTACATGCATTTTAAATGGTGCCCTAATTGTATGTTATGTAGGCCAATACTCTGGTATATTTATGAGAAAATAAATCTACTTTTCTTCAGATCAGTTTTTTACTTCGTGCTGTTCTGGTGGTTTAACACCTGGAAAGCTTCTTTGGAGCTTTAGTTTTAGCTTTAGCTTGAAGAAGATGGCCAAAACCAGCATATCGTCGCTGTCCAAATAAAAACAAGTATCTCCAAAATGTTAACTTTGCAGAAGAGGGGGAAAAAACTTTCTTTACTTTTGATGTAAACTAATTTAAAGAGATTTATTCCAAAACAATTTGGAGCATTTCTGTTGGTCATTATGAAATTTTCACACGATGTGCAGGACAGCTGCCGTGCTCAAATGATGTAAAAGAGTAAACAAATGGAAAAAATGGAGATGTATGTTTTTCTTTGGACGGCGATGATATGTTGCGTTTTGCATGCTGGTATGATGGTCAATCAGTATGCCCATGCTGGGTGACCAGCCAAACCAGCATCAGACCAGCATAAACCAGCTTAGGTCTGTGTTTTTTCTGCACTCAGATGTTCCTCAGTTCCGTTTTTAGTCATTCACATTTGGTCCTCATTGCTTTTTTGTGTTTAAGTTCATTCTGTTCTGATGGTTCAGCGCCTGGACTACACAGAAAAGGACTGCTGTTGCTCAGGCCTCTCTCTTTGAAGCTTTACATGAAGAATGTCCTCCATTAGACATCGGTTTCTAATGCTGATAGAGATGTAGCCAAAGAATTTACACAGCAGATCTAAGGGAAATATCTGAGGAGTTCTTGACCTCCCTGCTAGAAAAAATAGCATAGACCAGCATTGCTGGTCACCAGCAAAACCAGCTCATGTTGTGTTTTGGATGGTTTGCTAGTCAGCAGCAATGGAAGTTGATAAGCTAATTACCACTAAAACCTGCATAAGTTGTGTTTTGACATACTGGGTGACCAGCTAAACCAGCACCAGGCCAATATAAACCAGTTTAAACCAGCTGTTTTTCAGCAGGGATGATGACTTTTTAGTCAAATTAAATTTTGGTGGCTAATATTATTCTAAGTATTGTTCCACTGAAGCAACCCGTGTGTGTCTTATGCTTTCAACCCGTGATAATATCACATTTGGAACATATAACGAGAGGTTTTCCTCTCAGTATTAGGTTTCAGTAGCTTTCCTGTAGGTCTACTGAGCTTAGAGCACTTAAATATTCTTCACCTAGATTTAAGATCATCTAAATCCGTCATTAAATTATTTAATACGATTGTTTAATTGGCCAGCAGGGGGCCACACTCTATCAAAATTGCTGTGTGCTAGCGAGCAGGGAGCAGCACTTTATTGTTAATTAACAATACCTTAGCATAGAGGCTAACTTGAGTGAAAACCGAGGAAGATAACGGGTAAAGTATGTGTTGCTACATCAAAGCTGGGGTATTTAAGTTAGGAAATGTATTAATCCCGAAGGACATTGCACTGTTAGGAGACATTCTGGAGAATTTGTAATTCTTTTGCCGTAAACGACTTTAAAAACCACCTCGGTAAAACTCGTATGTGTAACGTTACTCTGGCTTCCGCTGCAGCTTTGTGAAAATGTGAATGCTGTGAAGTCTCATTCCTCAGTCAGCCAGCCCCCCTGCTGCTGGACCACCTTCTGCAGCTCTAACGCTCAGACCGCGACACAGACCAACATGGGCAGGCGGAGAGATAACAGGAGGAGACGCTGCTGAACATCCTAACGTTTTTTTACGGTATGTTGGCTGTCGAATTGTGTCTGTTTTCTGTGTATGTGTCTGAGATGTTTTTCGGGTCTGTGTGTGCCCTGGTTCTCCCTCAGACTGAAAGACTGGGTAAGTTAAAGTGAAGGTAGCGAGGTCTTAGATACTTCTTCTGTTGACTGAGGCTCTCAGGTACTTGGTTTTTGTGGATTTTGTGATGTAAGAATGATGGTTTACAACTTGCACGTGACTGTTCATTTACATCAGTGGTTCACCGAAAATCAGATTTACACAGATTTCCACTTACTTCATGTGTAGTTGACCAAGACATGCTTAGTGTTTGAAATTTGCTTCTTTAATTTTGCTGGAGCTGCGTGACTAATGCAGTTAGTTAAAACACTCTTAAAAAACTTGGGTTCTTTAATAAAGGGAATGGTTCTATTTAGAACCATAAGTCCTATAACAATTTCATGCTAAGAAGAAAAATGGTTTCTTGCTTTTTGAAAATGCACCAAAAAGCTATAATGTGTAGCTTGTAACAATAAAAGAACCCTTTTTGGTCCTGTATGGAACCTTTTTCATAAATATTCCAGATGCAAGATCCATTTAAGCATGAAATGGTTCTCTATAGAGGTAGTGGTTTCAGATAGAACTATTCCGTTTACTAACGAACCCTTGAAGAACCATCTTTTTTACAGTGAAGTAATGGACATCTGCATCCAAAAACTACCACAGTAAACAGTATGCAAAATAGTACAGCACTATTAGAGGTGCTTTCCCTAGTAGCATTTACAAGTGGTTTGGGATGCAGCATGTCACCTAAAATCTTTTTTGGTGACTTATAATAGCCTTACAGCTACAGTAAAACCTAAAGAAGCACCAAGCGTGTCTTTGGTGAGACATTCCTTTAAGCTTCCTGCAGCAAATATTATTTCGGCCTGTGCCTTCACCTAAAAGGCTTTTTTCTTAAAGAGGTTGTGACTTATGACTGTAGTGCTGTTTCCACTATAACACTTTCCTTTGGCTGAAAATTGAAGGTCCCTCTGCAGTGCCTTTGAAGTAGGACTAGCTGTGAATCCTCCTGAAGCCCTCCACTGAAGAAACATGAGTTTGACAGTGAAAGAACCAGCACTGAATTGTGAACACCTTTTTGTACAGCTCACGTCTTGTTTTTTGTGCGTATGTATGTGTTGGAGGCAGTGAGAATGAATACCACACCTCACTTGACCACCTCAGCAAGCGTGGATAACAGTACAGTACTGACGGCTGTTTGACGTCCGTTGGTGTCAAGGACGTTGTGGAGAGAAACCACAGGTGTCCGGGGGCCCATTGCCCAGGCTGTGCCGTGGGGACATACTGGTCCTGCCAGGCAGCTGTTTGGGGTATAAATAGGCGTCGTGTGCTGCCTGCTACTTCAGGGCGCTGACTTTCGCAGAGTTGCGTAAGAGCCCCTCAGCACTGATCACTGACATGCATTCTTTCGGCCTGTTCAGTCCTTCCTGTCTTTCTGAGTCGTTTAATTTGGGCTTACGTATTTGGAATTGGATCAGTGATGGGTATGGCAGAAAACCATGCGCTATTGGATTAGATGTTCATGAGTCAGAGGAGAATTGGCTGCTTCTCTGCCACAGCACACACAAAATATCATATGGCACTTGTTACATAATGGCATTACAACCAGAGATGGGAGGTTTGTGAAGGAAGTATGGTAGAATAAAACCTATAGGATTGTGCTTTAGAATTCTGTGCTTTATTATGTAGTTGGTCAGTGCTGAACTCAACTGGACTCATCTGGAATAACCATATTAATATGGACTAATCAATAGGTATTTTGAGAGCAGGGTATGTCACTTCAGTGCCCAACAGTATGTCGATATTTATTGTCATCATTGGAGAAATTGCATCAAACAATGCTTATTTAAACATTTCATGGATATCATCAGTATCTAAAGCTGACCAACTGCATAGTTCATTACAAAAAGAGCATAATTAGTCTTGTTTAACTGGATTTATTGCAGTGCAGTATGTGAAAATCATTGTACTCTAGCCCTCCAGAATTACTGGCACCACTGCTAAAGATGCAGAAAATGCTATAGAAAAACATCTTCGTAGGTTATGTAATGTAAACGTACACTGAAAATATGAGAAAAATTTCAATGTGGTATAGGTCAATATGGGAATTATTAAAATATTAATTATGGTTTGGTTAGAATTGGGTTCCAGCAGGCTTGGCCCTACCAGGAGAGGGGGGTATTTGGGGATGGGTGTGACCATGAGAGTGGACGGTATGGGATTATTTACTCTAGTAAATGGGATTATTTACTTTAGTATTTTATTTATGTAATTATTTAGTTTATTTATTTATTTAGTTAATTATTTTTGTGTTCTAGTTACAGATTGATCCTATTAGCACAAAAGTGCTACTCTTTATGCTCACTATTATTCTGGATGCACGTTTTGTTACCAGTTATGAATGAAATTACATCAAAATGTTTAACAAAAATACTTTTTAATTCAGTTTCTGTGTCATTAATGAGAGCCGTTTGGATCCACAACATTTGTTTTCTAAGGAATGCAGACATATTTAATTTTCCAGCCAATGAAACTAATAATCTGTGCTGCTGTGTGTCTGTCTTGAACGCTGCTCTTGTCGTTTTGCATAAAACTCTGTTTATTAATCATGATTAGTTTACTAAACAAGTCTTGTTATTTACCTCCTCATTTCCCTTCAGTTGTCGTCAGTTTGCTGTGTGGTTTGTGAAGGTTTTCTCTGCTCTCTGACAGTCGACTGCGCTGCATTCAGTTCACGCATCACGTGAGTGTGGTTATGCAGTTCCGCTGAACTTTTTCATTGGTTTACTGTTGCTATGGATACTGGCTCCACCACTGATCTGAAGCACACTTGGACCATCAGTAGCTGATTAGATGTTCTCCTTCACTGGTATTAAAGTATTAAAGTAAACCATCGCTGCCCGTCTAGTGTTTCTAATCAGTGAAAGCCAGAGAGCTGAGCAGAAGTAGGAATCCTTATGGGGTCGTTTTGAAGAGAGACGTAAAAATGTGTGAGAAAGGTCAAGTGTGGCGCAAAAGCATGAGATTAAACCTAAATGCATGAGTCTCATGGCCAGTGCGTGAGAGTTGGCCACCCTTGATATGATAAGCTTTCACTGATATGATCCTTTGTATACTGATGTTTTGCTCCACAACCCACAATGGGAATGCAAATTCATTGCAGATAGATCATTTGCATTTCTCATATCTTTTTTATCATGGAAATGGAATTTTATTGTGATGCAGGCTTTCAGTCGCTCCATGATCTAGTCTGTCAGACACTTATGTGGGTCCTAATGTGGATTATAGTAAAAAAGTTTAGTTCTTTAGTCTTGTTTCTTTTATCTCTCTGTAATCCATACTGGCAATGGTTCCCTTTATCACAGTGATGAATGGTGGGGTTATGATGTCAGGGCACATAGTTTGGTTTAAATCAGTGGTGCTGTTGGGGTAACACTTTTGAAACTTCAGCAGTTCTTCACATTAATAAAACTAGGCCTTTTGTGCTTTGGAATGAATTATTGATTGCTTTGCAGGACAGTATCCAAAAACTCTATGTACTACAAAGTATTCATTTATTTATTTGTCTTGTCTCTGGGAACATCGTCTCTCAAGAGACGTTTTTCTAAAGTGAAAACATTAAGAAAGAAATCTGGATGAAAGATTTTCAGAGAATCCAGGCCAGGCTGTTTAAGATGTATGTCTGGAGATTTGTCTTCATCTCTCTTTTTTCCACTTCTGTTGCCTCTTTGGACCTCCACAGGAAGAGAGGAGAGGTTGTACAGTTTTGTCATATCATGAGTAAAGTCAGCTAAGTATTGCTGCACAAAACAAAGAGGTAGAACAGAGGTAAAATTAGGCCTGTCAGTAATAGCCAGTTATTACAGAATCACCTGACTTCAGTTATTTGAGATGATGGAGATTATTTAAGCTGACCACAGTCATTTTCCACAGCTGGTAATGTTTATTTGATCTCAGGCTGTGTCATGACCGCTACATGCACCAGAATGTAAACTAGAATGTTATATTGATGTGACAGTTGTTATTATATCAAGCATACATTTGTAAAGACATTTCTAAAGTAATGTTAAGTAGCAAGGTCGCTAACACTACTGGCGTGTATGCAAGCACAATGAGTGTTAATATTGTTCAATATGGTGCAAAATTTGTTCGTTAGTTTTAGACTATGGATATTTTTTAAATGAACTGACATAATATTTCTAATTTGGCTAATTTTGGAATTTAGAAAAAAAAACTACCATTGCTACTAGTGACACACCAATATGGGAATAAGTGATACTGAACACTGTACGTCAGGGATGCGCAACTCCGGTCCTGGAGGGCCGGTGTCCAGCACAGTTTTGAGGTTTCCCTACTCACACACACCCATTAAACCTGCCAATTAACAGAAAAGTGTGATCAGGTGTGGTTGAGCAGGTAAATCACCAACGTGTGCCGGACACCGGCCCTCCAGGACCAGAGTTGTGCACCCCTGCTGTATGTCATTGAATTTATACAGTTAGAATGTAAAAATGAACTTGAACCTAGCTTTTAGCAGCTCCACCTGCCAGTGTTCAAGTGGTCCTACCGAGCATGCACGTATCATTTATATACCATAGAAACTGAATATTTTAAATGTTGTATTGAGTTTTTAATTTTAAACCAGCACAGACTCAGCTTAGTGTCACTCTTCACCCCCAGATAAGCTTATTTAGGCTATAAAAATATCCTAATTGTTCTTTTAAAGATGGTAACATTTTCTGATTGACATTTGCCAGCTTAGTGTTTGAATTTTCCCTTTCCACCTTAAATGGTGTAGCAATGTAACTGCGGCATCATTTAAGGTGGAATGGTAAATTTTGAACAAAAAGCTGGCGAATAAGAAGCCAACTTCAGCTTCGTAGTTTTAATGCTGGTAAGGTTGTAAAACATCCTACCTGGAGTCTTTTGTACGGAGCTACCTATAAATGTGATATGGTAGGACATTTTGCTGAGTAACTGCTGGTTTTGCTTGTGTGGACGGTGCTGTCGGAATCATTTTAGCTGCACTGCTGGATTGCAGCCAGTGCGCCTGAATGTTAACAGTGCTCGTCCAGCATGCAATAAATGCACCATCAAATATTAGTTTGAAATAACTGACAAATCTAAGCATCGTTTTGGTGCCAGTGATGTTTAAAAAAGTGAATATTGGCTGATACCAATATGTTATATGATATTATTGTGTGTCCCTAATTGCTTTTGAATGAAGAGCTGTATTGGAACGGAACAGCTTGCCTACAAACTACACAAAACGCTTTTTCCCTTCTCAATGCAGCCAAAATAACACTGCATTCTGGAGATTTTTCTGTTGTATAAGAGGGCTGTTTAGGTGCCTGTTGTTTTGTTTAGCGTCGGTTTTGGTAGCCTGTTTAAATGCCAGAGTGCAAAATCAACTTCCTTGGCTTTAATTTCTTAGGGCCGCTGAGCAGTGCACTGCAAATATGTAGCTGAGCCTGGTATCGGATGTTTCTGTGATGCCCCTGCACAGCATAGAGTAAAACCCATTAGATTTACATTCACTGCCGTGAGACCACAGCAAAGATAAAAGACTTGAGTCTTACAGTAAACCAGCAGTCCTTAACGAAACAGTGAGGCTTGACAGCTACGCAGGGTAGTTATTTAGCAGGTAAATTATGCTTCTTGTGATGTGTGCAGTGAGCCAGTAGACTTATTTTCTCATCATGCCCTGAATAATAGTTGCATTCGAGGCCAGAGGAACACATCATTGGAAAAATCCACACGTTTGTATTCACCCATAATGAATAGGCATAATGGTGGGCTGTTTGGGCCAAAATCTGTGCTCCTAAATCATAATTCTTGTCTCATTTTGAAAAAAAAGAGCAATTGTGAGCGTTTTGCTTGCACTTAAAACCCTGCCATGAGTAACATGGTGTTGCACTAGAGGTCTGAGGCATTGCATTGCTCAAGTTGGGCACATTGAGCTGATATTTGGGCCAAAGGAAACACACAAACTGACACAAACTTTCACTCGCAAAATATAAGCTTGTATTATCAGTACCAGTAGTCACTTATGGGAGCAAAAATTGAATGATTCATTCATGCTGTATTGCCCTGCGATGGACTGGCGACCTGTCCAGGGTGTATCCTGCCTTCCGCCCAATGACAGCTGGGATAGGCTCCAGTACCCCACCGCGACCCAGAAGGATAAGCGGTTTAGATGATGTATGTATGTATTCATGCTGTATTTACATCAGTTACTTTAACATGTTCATGGCCATTTATGGTATCTGATGGGGCTCTGTGATTAGTGGACCACATATTCAGTCTATAAACATAAGTTCATAAACTTTGAGCTCAATTGGAGGGGTTATCTGGACCAGGGGGGCACAACTCTGGTCCTGGAGGGCTGGTGCCCTGCACAATTTGGTGGTTGCCCAACTCAAACACGCTAACTAAACCTGACATTTAACATAGCGGGTTGAATTAGGTGTGTATGTGCTGTGAGGTCATCAAACTCTGTCAGACACTGACCCTTAAGGTAAGAGTTAAGAGTTAAGAGTTGTGCATGCCTGAACTGGACTGTTGTTTGATGCTGACCGCTAACGCGTGCGTGAGCAGCTGGACAGCTCTTTTGGTGAGCGTGTGTTGGCCATGCTTTCCCCATCCACAAAGTGGGTCTCCAAGTGGACTAGGCTATTTCTGGAGACTGTATTGGGAAAATAAGCAAACTCGTAATTACTCTCCCAGAAATCATCATGAGATCCATGAACCACATCAGCACGCACACACACATTGCTCTCACACAGTTGAGTGAGGTATTTCCTTTGTAGCTGAGATCTTACCCAGATTATTCTACAAAGCAGAAAATATACAGACAGACCCCTTCATTAAAACTACCTCCTTGTATCTATACTCTGTGTCTGTTTAATCAGCTCCACTCACCATATAGGAGCACTTTGTAGTTCTACAATTACAGACTGTAGTCTATCTGTTTCTTTGCATACTTAGTTAGCCCCCTTTTACCCTGTTCTTCAGTGGTCAGGACCACCACAGAGCAATATTATTAGGGTGGTGGATCATTCTCAGCACTGCAGTGACACTAACGCGGTGGAGCAATGCTGAAACCAACTACATGCTTGACAGAACGAAGAATGTGAATATTCTTCACTTTCTAGATGATACATATTCATATTTTTTAGTGACTCCAGGTTAAAAAAAAGGAAGTTTACGTCACATCCTTCTTCTTCTGTGAGTTCATAGAAATTTGATTTTTGTCTGGAGCCAGAGTTTAGCCCTTATCTGATTACCCAAGTGAATGTAAATGAGTTGAATGACTTACTGACAACATCTGATTTTCTGCAATTGTTGGATTATTAAGTGTTTGTGAACACTCTCTCTGACTCTGTGACAGCTTCAAATACAGCTGCAAACTCTCTTGATAAAAGTTATTTCCAGCTACTGCCATGCCATGTATTTGTTTGTCATTAAAGTATGTCGAGTCTGAAGTATCATTTACAAGCAAAACTCACTGCTGATGCCGGCAGAATCAGTAATATCATGTTAGCAGCGAAGATGGTCATCAGTAGACTACTCTGGACACTGCTAGCGGGAGAAATTTAGGTTATTCAACAACCCCTAAACAAAAACAGCAACAGCAAAGTGGAAAACTCCAGTTCCTCTTGAAACAAGACGTAACGTGGTGGTATGTCAGCAGGAGGCGACAGTCATGGAGAGTTTAAACATATCGCTGCTTTCACGGGATGT